AAATATACTGAGTGTTACTTAGGAATTGACAAGAAGGGACATATTGTGTTGGAATTATAAAATAATTTTCTATGCACGTTTTTACTTGTCAGCATGTCTCTGGTAGAAATGACAGTAAAGCTGGCATGTAAATTTTAACAAGTGAAGGTATCCTGCCTGAAACTGTCATAAGGAATAGGTAATTTAAGAGTTATTTTATTTGAATGCTTGGTGAACTCTGAGATATCTGATGACAGCATAGGATCTTGGAGAATTATTACCTTAGAAATAAAAGCATCTCAAGTCTTACCTGTAGTTGTTGTATTTTTAAATAATAGAATCATAGAATAGCCTGGGTTGGATGGGACTTTAAAGACCATCCAGTTCCAATCCCCCTGGACATGGCCAGAGATACCTTTCACTAGATGAGATTGCTCAAAGCCACATACAACCTGGCTTGGAACACTCCCAGGGATGGGGCATCCACATCTGGGCAGCTTGTTCCCATGCCTCACAACCATCACAGTAAAGAATTTCTTCCTCATATCCCATCTGAACCTACTGTCTTTCAGCTTGAAGCCACTCGTCCTTGTCCTGTCCTTAAATGCTCTTGTAAAATATCTCTCTCCAAATCCACAGCAAATTTACCGGAATTACCTTCATTTTGTAAGAGTATCTCAAAATCAGCTTATAATCGACTTTGGATTTTCCTTGTAAATTAAGTCTCATTGGAGATTTATAGATGAGTGATATTTGAAAGGGGAAATGTTGATATTGAAGAGTGCTTGCAGTTTTTAGGTGCTCATTTTGAACCCAGTTGTGTTCCCATTAAAATGTCAGAAACATGACTGGTGGTTTCTAAAATGACCTGTATCGTTGTTTCATTGGTGCCAATACAACGGGGCCCCTACACAGTAATGCAGACCTCTGTAAAGAAAACATAAGACTACTATCAAATGAAGACATTAAGTTCTCTGTGTAGGGATACTTTGCCTCTGATGAGTATGATAAGACCATGTTCACTCAAGACCCCCAGCTGCTATCCAAACTAGGGCCAGTATAACTCGGGGTGTAACCGCACACCGTGTGTGCCATTGGGAAGACCTGGGTGGTGGTTGGATGTTCTCTGGGTTGTGGCTCTACGCAAATCATGGTCCACAGACCACCATTAAGGACTCTAAAATTCATAAGTAAAAGCCTGTCTTCGAAAACTGCATGAACATGCTGATTCATGTGGCACTGCAAGTATTTTTTGCTAGTTTCGGAAAAAGGAGAGCTTTTTAAAATTCAAATTTTTCATCTAATCCTCATTATAAATATTTTTACTTCTCTGGTACATCAGATTTTTTTGCCAGTCTTCATGAATCACTAACTGTCTTGAGTAAGTTTATATAAAAAAGAATTTAAAATGTAACTGAAATTCAGTATTTCTCTGTTTTGCAACTTTAGCTTTGAGCTTCTTTTCATGGAGATGAAGGTACAGTGTCATCAATCTGAGAAAATCTTAAATTATAATAGCATTTCTGTATCTTACTAAAAGCATGATGAGAGATAATTCAACCTCAATCCTTTAGCAGTGTTTTATTTCAAATATGAATTTACCCACATTTCTTGTTAGGTAATGAATAGGCTGAGCTGAGAACAAAATGCTACTCTATCTTACACATATAAGTATTTCAGTTTCTCTGGGACAGGGTTCCTGTCACCTAGGAAAGGAGAGAGGTTAGGAGGCAACCTCACTAAATCCACACATGGGAGGCACAGGGAGTCTGAAAGCAAGTGAGCATGGTGGTGGTCATAGCAGAGAAGAGAGTCTGGTGTCTCTAAAGAAAAGATGAGTGCTCTGCTGCTCATACTGGCAAAGAACATGGTAATTTTCCAAGGCAAAATTGCTGTTGTATATTTTAGTAAAAGTCAGTGAGTGCACACCCCTTGTTATTAGAGGAAGAAGACTGAAGAGGTTGGTTTGACACCAGACTTTGCATTCTTCTTCCAAAGGATGAAGGGACTTGGCTCCCTGTACTGTGGTGTGTGGCTTGTACAGCTACACAGTACATGGATTACATGCCAGGTAATCCATGGCATTCTTTGTACAAAATTTCACAGAAGTGCATCATCTCTTTTCATGTTTCAGCAAGACCCAAAAATATGCCACTCTCAGACTTTTACTGGTGTAATACTGTAACACTGCTGTGTGGCACTGGAAGGGTGCATGTGTATGTGGTATATTTGTCTGTTTGAAGCTGCATGGTGTAGGCTGTTGTTCTTGGGGACACCTTGCAACACTATAGTTTTAGGCAATTTTATGGAAATTTCTATTACTTCTGGCAAGCCTTAATGGGAGCCAACACTCCACTCCAAGAGTGCAAGTATTCTTCCTTTCCACATAAAAATCTTCAGCTTAAGATACATTTGTCGATTTTTATAAGTTCTAAAGTTAAATGATCCCAGGGGAAGGCACTGCTCCTCTGTTATTAGCCTTCCAGAGGTGAAGTTGTCCTCAGAGTTGAGCAAGAAAGTTGCTTTAGCACTGTCAGATACCTAATTAATCCCTCAGTAAATAAGGCATTCTGTAATTAAATAACCGAGATGTGCAATCAGTTCTAACACAAAATGCTCTGCATATTAATATATTATAATCCAGGAGCTGTACGAGGCTTGGTTTTGGTTATGAAGTGGTTGTAACAGACTTTTAAAATTATGGAGAACTCATTGCAGGCAAAACAGTGTGGTTTTTTTTGGCAAAATTCAGCTAAGTGGGACCTGCGAGCTAACGATTTGGATATCTGCTTCAGATAGTTTTCAATAGGGAAAGCAGCAGAGTTTCAGGCAGTGGATTGTTGTAAATATGCGAAAGAGACTGAAGAACGGACTTCTGAAATATTAATAGAGCAGCTGCTGGGGAGCCAGTGTTAGTGCCTCGGGGAGTTAAAAGTTTTCTCCAAAGTCCGTTCAGCGCTTGCGACTTCTTGCTCTGAAGACCGCAAGAACCAGAAGCAAGGCGGATCAGGTATAATCCTCAATGAATTAGTTAGCCTGCGGGGTGGTCCGACCTGCCTGTGCGGACCACTCGGGGTTATAAACGCAGGCTTGAAATCCCGAACTATAAAAGATACCCTTTCCCTGAGGAAAAAACAACGGGACGCGAAGGACTTTCAACAGAGCCTCCCTCACCTGGAGGCGCCGCCGCTCCATCCCATTGGCTACCTTTCGCCCCGCCCCTGGCGCCCCATTGGCTGCTCCGCATTCCCCCGCCCACCCGCGCGCGGCCGGTCCCCTCCGGCACCTGCCAGGGCGCGAGGAGCGACTCCCACCGCCCCCGCCGCACGCGCCGCCCGCGCTCATTGGCGGCATGGCCGGCATGCTGCGCCCGCCCATTGGCCGTTGGGGCGGCCGGCTGTGCCGCGATTGGCCGGCGGGCGGGCGGGGGCGGGGCGCGCCCCGCCGGGAGCCGGGCGGTGTGTTTGGGCTGCGGAGTTGCCGGCGGAGCGGGGTTGGCATCGGGAGCAGCTGCTCTCGCCGCCGCAGCTGGCAGCGCGTACCGGGGAACCGCGCTTGGCGCCTTCGCCCCCCGTCGCGGGGAGCGGGCGCGGGATGGCCGCCTCGGGCGGGATGCGGCGCGGCGCGCTGCGCTGAGCGGGGCGATCCGCGGCCGCCCGGCAGGACCATGCCGTCCGGGAGGGAGCCGGGCGCTCCTTGGCTGCGGGATCCGAGCGGGGCGGCCGCCCCCGCAGCGCCCGGCAGCGCCTGAGCCCGCGTCGCGCCTTCCCCGCGCCCCGCCATGGACGAGCGCTCCAACAGGTGGCTGCTGCCGCCGCTGCTGGCGCTGCTCTTCCTGCTCATCGTCTACCAGTACGTGTCGCCCGCCTGCCCCGGCGCCGCCTGCCCGCGCCGCTCGCCGGCCTCGGCCGCCCGCCGCGGGGGGGGCCCGGCGGAGCAGGAGGAGGAGGAGGAGGCGGCGGCGCTGCCGCGGCTGGCGGCCAAGTTCCCGTTCGCACGGGGGGAGCTGTGCCGGCGGGTGCGGTTCGACATGCGGGGCCGCGACGTGATCGTCTTCCTCCACATCCAGAAGACGGGCGGCACCACCTTCGGGCGGCACCTGGTGCGCAACATCCACCTGGAGCAGCCCTGCTACTGCCGGGCCGGGCAGAAGAAGTGCGCCTGCCACCGCCCGGGCGGCGACAAGGACACCTGGCTCTTCTCCCGCTTCTCCACCGGCTGGAGCTGCGGGCTGCACGCCGACTGGACCGAGCTCACCAGCTGCGTGCCCGCCGCCATGGAGCGCCGCGGATGCGCCGGCAACCGCACCCTCAGGTCAGTGAGTGTCTGATTTCCAGGTGCTCGAAATCACATCCCGCCTTTCCCAGTGCCGTGGGAAGGCGCGCTGTCAGCGGGTCCCGCTCCCCGGCAGTTGGGCGAGAATTGGCCGCCGCCGTCGTTGTTCAGAAGCAAACGGTGGGGAGACGAAGGCTTACATTTTGGCGGAGGTTCTGGTTTGGGGTTTGGGTTGTTGCCCTCCGTGTGTGTTACCTGTCGTGCTTTCGCTTCGCCACAGGTTTGTGCGGATTCCACGCAGCGCGCGTGCATCTGCGTTTTGTACAGATCAGCGAGAGAACTCCTGTCTATTCTCCTGTCTATTTCTCCTTTAGAAAGTTGTTTTAAACAAAACGCTACGCTCTTGTGCAGTAAGTAGAGTGCCTCTGCAGAATCTGATAGATCGTTGCAGCTGCTGAATCATGTAACTACGGGAGTTTGAAGTATCCAGAAGCCCTTAAACTCTCTTTCCCCCGTGTTTCTTCTTGGCAGATAGGCTGGTTCTCTGCTTCCCGCGGTGCACTGACCGCTCGCTGTACGGGCAAGCTCAGAGTAAGGCGACCATGTGTGCCAGGCTCTGTGCAGGGAACGCAGTCCTAGCGAAAATTTCACTGTTAGTTCCCTTTGATGATCTAATGGCAGTGGAAAACGGAATTTTGTGTGCATGCTGCCTCTCTCCGTATTGTTTCTGTTGAGTCTTGTGAAAGGTCTTGTCTGTTTTAAACGTGGAATAACTTCAGATGGGTGATTCTTCTAGATAAGAGATAGCTCTGGGTGATTCATTAAGTTTGGACTTGGTTCTGGTTTGTTTACCATTCAATCAGATTTCTCAGGCTAGTATTAGATCCTGTCTTTATTTGTATGATAGATTTTGAACATGTGTATTAAGGAGTTATGAGCTGAATTTGCTCTTAAACCTCTGCACTTTAATAATTGTAATTTCAAGTTTATAAAATGTGTAGGAAAATACAGGAAAAATACCTTTTTAAAAAGTAAAAAGATACCTTATATTCTTTCATTTTAGTATCCATCTTGATTTTACAAGTCCACAAACTTTAAATCTTCAGTAGAACTACTCACATGTTTTGTATCTTATAATTTAAAAACATGTACAGTCCATGAAATACATGGCCACATTTTCACAGGGCTTATTCATTGAGACAGTAGAGTTGATTATTGTTGTTGTTGAAAAATTTGAAGATTATTTGATGTGATCATCAAAGGCCCTCCCATACTGCAAAGCTAGTCATATTTGGAAAGACTCCAGTCAGGATAATTTGAATTTATTGTGGATGGTTGTGGACTTGGACTGTACTTGCAGAATACTGTTAAGGTAATTCATACAATTTTATGGAACACTAATATAGCTGAAGATGAAGTGTATGTGTTTGTGTGCTAATGGAAGAGAAATGCTGTGAATGCCTTCAAGGACAAAATAACGTATTGGTAGCTGTACAGCTTTAAGGAATATTCGGGAAACTTGTAATGTAGAACGGGGGGGGGGGGGAGAAAGAGTAATGCTTGTAAAAATGCTTGAAAACACATAATCTGCCACTTAAGTCCACTTTTTCTCTCTTGTGACGAATACTAGTAGGTAAACAGTTGAATCCTGAATTCAATTGCAGAGACTACACGTGGACACTAAAATCAGAGTGGTAGTTTCAGTACTAATAATTAAAAACATGATTGTTTTTAATTAACTAAATATAACTAAAACTAGTTATTTAGTGGATGGTTAGTAATTATTTTGATTTAAGAAAGATGTGTAGTGATATTTCACCACTACAGGTGAATGGTGTTTTCTTAACTTTTTTTGGTTACTGTTTTCATAGTTTGTTTTTTTATGTTTGTTTAGTTAGTGATTTGGTTACTGTAATATTGCACTTCTTGATTTGTCTTTACTTATATGAGTAAAGTAAAATTATTTGTTTCATTGTTCTAATACTTGTTCATTCCTGTATTATATCCTGTGCTAGGCAGACACCTTTACAATTTCCCCTTTGTTTCCTCATTATGATGATGTAGCTTGAATTCAGCTTTTCAAGGAGCTCTAAAAGGAATCAAATAGCCCTGAAGTATGGATTGTCTCTGCTGTGAATGCCTTTGCTTCTGGTGAAGTTGGAATCAAGCCCAAACTACTTTGCTGTACTATTAGAGGCGTGCATCTAAGTCTTTTTTTTTAATGTCTGAATGGTGAATTGAGGAGACTGTATGCCTACTAGCATATGAGTCTAACATAAAGCATACTGATCATTTTTAAGTCATCCTTTAAAGCTTCTGAATGTATTTGAGACATTACACTTCATTAAATAGCTCAACTTTTCTCTGCTGCCTTCCAGCTGTGGTGTCAGAAGATTAGGCTCAATTGGTTTAATACATTGCAATGGATTTTATTTATGGCTAGTGGGACAAACCATTTTATGAATTTGGTACCAATGTGTTTGATTTCTTGTGCCATGTATTTGATGCAGGGAAGATGTTAAGTGTGTTTTAGAACTTTGTTTGTTTCTCCACATAGCAAGTGTTAGTATAATCTGTTCTTTCAGATCTCTGTATATGTGGTCTTTTATTACATAGAGGGAATAAAAAATTTATAGTGTATATCTGCTCATTCTGAAAATTTATTTCTTAGATGGCTGGTAATATTACAAGTTAGATTAAGTCCTACCTTTTAACACAGATCTTCAGAAGATTTCATGAGGAAACTATAATTAGAATTCACGGGGGAAGGGGCTAGCTGGTAGGGAAAGGAGTGACTGGATAATGGTCCTAAAGGTCCTAGAAGACATGTGAAGCACACCCTGGGTCTTTGTCTTTCATGGACAGTGCGTTTAAAGGTGTTTTACTTCTTAAATCTCATTAGGCTTTTGAAGAGAATTTGTCTTAGTTTTTTCTGTTTCTAATGTTGGAGTTTTGAAGTCTCGAGACTCAAACAGGAATGTGGGGCAGAAATTGCTGCTGTGGTCCAAAAATTTGAACTTCTCTAAGCCCATGTGCAAGCGTGGACTTTTTGTGTGACTTAATGGTATGGTGTGACTTCTCCAGCTTAGGCCTTTCAATATGAAGAGTTGGCCGTTGTCAATGTATTGGATGCTCTCGTGAAGGGTTTTTTGTTTAAAAGCAAAGTAGTTCTTTTGAATGACATTACTTCAAAAAATTACCAAACCAAAACAACAACTGTAGAATTTACTTCTTCAAATATTTGCATATGTTTTAATTTTCAGTATGTTAGATGTTCTGCTGAAATACCTGCTCAAGTGTTTACGGGGCCAGGCTATAAGTTTTTCATACTAATGTGTAGTGTTCACTTTTAGGAAAGTTGCTATGTGGATAGCGATGATATTGAGAAGGGTGTGCAGCTGATGCAGTTTTGAATTAAATTCTTATTAGTGTAGTTTTTAGATCAACATTGTAAATAATATTATTAAAGCAGTGAGACTTTTCCTATGTAGATGCAGTTATGTCCATATGGAAGTTCTTGCATCAGTAGCATAATCCATTCCTTCCCCACCCCTTGCCATTTAACAGAATGGCTGTTAGCGCAGAAAGTAACTGAGACTGGCATGGAATCCTTCCCCCCCCCCCCTCTATTTTTAAGAAATGGTCTATTGTGTATTTGCTTTGCCCTCCCCTCTCTGGAAGTCGCTGAAGTTGGTGATTCTTGTGTTCAGCTCAACCTCTGGAACTAGTCTTTCCTTCAGCAGTGCCGAGAAGCTGAGACTGTGGAGTCTTAGCCAGCATTGCTTGAGAAAAGAAAGGGAAGAGAAATGTTGTTAAGACATCTAACCTGGGGTGCCAGGGAAGAGTTGGTGTCAGTTCTGAGGGATATTAGACTGTCTCTGTAGACAGTGGGGAGAAACAGAATAATACAGGCAGTCTTTTGGAGTGTCTAAGACATGTCTGAGACCTGCTGAATTGTCGTCTGGAGGGGCAGTTCTTCCATTCACTGATAGCAAGGAAAGACTAAAATTGTGAATTGGGACTTGATGTCTAAAACTAGATGAGAAGAGTTCCACATCTAATATTGCAGAGACGTTGTCCAAACTGATTGTCTGCTTCTGTTAGGTTGCCAGGTAAAACTTGATGTGTGAGGTAGCACTTGCTTTGCCTCTCTGATCTATGTATGAGGGATTGAGAGGAGTCCTGATCAAGGCACATTTTCTCCCTTGCTGATGTACCTGCAATATAATTAATAATTATTCATTATTATGAATTACAAGTTTGATTAAACTAGGAAGGCAATCTTTTAAACACTTGAAAGAACACTGTATTGGAAGTGTTGTCTAATTTTCTGATATGAAACAGTGAAAACACTTGAATTGTGTAAACCCTATAAGCTTTATTGTCTATGCAGTTTAGTCTTCAAAACTATTGATTTTCATTAATTTGCTTCCATTATACTCTCCATTTCCTTGTGTCTGTTTAACTTACTGTGTGCTCCATTATTCTGTGGAAGTGTACATCAACATAAACCCATGAGTCATGGAATGAAGAGAGTTGAATAGAAACTGTCAGTAGGATTCCTTTTTTTTCTTATGCAGTCCTTTATTTGACTAATGAGTATTTTTAAACCTCTAGCAATAACAGAGCATAAGATGAACTCTAATCTTTGCAGCTATGATAACTATGATCATCACAAAAATGTAAGAGTGCTAATTGAAAATTAGGACTAGGCTGAAAATCCAGTTCACTCTATATTTATTGAAGGCCATTCTTTGTTTCCTCCTCTTCTGTGTCAGTTGTTTTCTTGAAAAGTGATGCTCTACTGCGAGTACAGTACCAAGTGGACCAAAAAAGGTTATTTTGCTTATTCTGGAAGTTGTGTTTGTGGCTGTACACTTCACTGATGTTTGCCATTTCACAATTGCCTGACATTGACTGTCAGCTTGGGATTTAGACATTATTCATTTTCTTTAAAGACTACTACTTATATTTCCATTGTCCAGTGGATTTAATTTGTCTTCTGTCAATGTCTTTATTTGCAAAATTGATTTAATTTT